ACCCGATCCCGTTAGTCGCCTTTTACGACAAGCATAGTTGCCTTTTATGGCAAGCATGGGTTGCTGAATACCTATTCTATCCCGGAATCTTCACGGGTCCACAGATATTGTAAATACTCGAATGGTGGCTAATGTTTATAAGATAAACTTGTCTTGTCAAGGTTATTGAAATTTTTCACAGCAGTCATGTGATTAATGAGAAAACTGTGAATGTTTCTCTTTAGTGTCTGAAACTCATAATACAAGGATATAATCCAGACAAAAATATCAGGTGAGCTACAGGGCTTCTGTATCTGTTTATTGCTCACTTGACACAGTAAGGTAACTCAACACGTGTTCACTTTTTGCGTTTTTAAAAGCTCTGATATTTTTTCGAAGTTTGTGCTTTCATCTTGCTCTTAAATCTCCTGAAATGTAGTTTTTTTTATCAAATATTATCTCTTCAAAAAATAGCATATGAAGGACATGTCTGACGTCATATTTTGTTCAAATAATTTTTGGATTTACAACATTAAAAAAGTCACGTTTCACAAGAACTTCAAACATTATGTTATCATGAAGCCACAAGACTTAGAAAGCTGAACCCTTGTTAGAATGATAATGGCTGTGATTGACATCATGAGCATCGATCCATGCAGTTGGGATACGATGACATGCATCAATCAAGTCAGCGAGCCTGACCACCCGATCCCGTTAGTCGCCTCTTACGACAAGCATAGTCGCCTTTTATGGCAAGCATGGGTTGCTGAAGATCTATTCTACCCTGGGTCTTCACAGGTCATGGCTGTGGGAAGATTAAAGGAATCATTAAAGGCAATAACGTCAGTAGGCACAGATAATGTTACAAAAACAAGTCTTTCTCGAATCTGATTTTCTTAAAGTTGAAAAAATTTATTTTGAAACTAATTTGATTTGTTGCTTAAAATTTGTTTCTGACATGTGCCCTGTGGCTGTTGTTGGAGCCATCTTAGTGCTAAGACATGTTAGTGATCAAAGTTGTCACGGACTTCCAGTGGTCAACGTTCTATAATCAACTTGTGTTTACACGGCTCTGTGACAGAGTGAGCCATGTTGTTTTGGGATATATCTGAAAAACAAAAACATTTATTCTAGAAGATTATATGGTTCTGTCCTGATGTACAAAACCTTCCAAATGGCGGACTGGTTTTCTTGGGGGAATTCAAGTCAGCAAAGAGCCGGAGTGACAGGAGACAATTACAATTTTATTCACAAAAATAATAAACAATATCTTAAATATAGCTGAGGGTGCCAAAGAGAGTCAGTACAACCCTCTGGCTGTGGGGTGAGATGTCTGCTTGGTTTGAGTGTCAAACCCCTACACTTAACATTTTGCTGTGTGTGTTTAATAAAAATTAGAACAATATAAAGGAATATGATTGGTTGTTGATACACAATGGGCGTGTGCTACGGTTAATGAATGGCTAGACAGAGGGGAATACGTAATCCTGTTGGACTGGCACTTATCTTGTTAACATATTTACTGGGTGCTTGGAAAGAGATTATGGTATCACTATAGACAAGCTTGTCTGGGGGCTAATCCTTAATGAGTTTAAATTGATGCATTCGCTGAATGTTATTCTAATATAGGTGATGACAGATTTACTTTAATAAAATAGTTCAATTCAATCTATTAAACTATGCAGACATAACCTTTGTCTTATTGAATAGTATGTCTGGGAGATGGGTTCACGTTACCTTAGGCTAGCATCTATCTAAAAAGCTATAACTGAAACTACTATTATTTTGTATCTGCGTTTTCCTTGATTAATATGTATTACCGTATTCGACGTAATAAGCGCCCAGGGCGCTCTCAAAATCTCGTAAAATCCAAAGATCGTAAATTTCGCCTGAAATGTTTACATACGACAGATATATTTTTCAAGAATTTAATTGCCCATAATTAAGGGTGCATTTAACACAAGAGTGCGTATTATTCACGAATAAATAAGTCTTGTGTACATTGATCAATCAGAAGGGGTGCTGATTGGAATTGTTCACTCGCCATTATATTAGCAAATATCGCGGTGGGCGCTTATTAGAGTGGGGCGCTTATTACGTCGAATACGGTACTTGCTGTTCTATAATTATATGAAATTTTGTATAAATGTTACACCATGATAAATTATTAAAGCACTTTCTGTGGATCTTATTATTATATGAAAACTTAGTATAAATGTTATATCATGATAAGATACTGGAAACAGTATTATTTTTCTCAGGTTAAACAACAAAATGAAAAGATTCACTGAACATCCTGTAAGTCCTTGAAAAATATGTGGTGAAAACGACTTGTTGGGCTCAGCCTTTCTGAGATAAACTTCCATCCGTCCACTTTCCGTTTCCGGAACTCTTGAATAGTTCTTGTTGAAACTCGCTATACAGATCAGTCTAGTGGGGAACTCCAGGTGCCTTTTGATGTTTTGGGATGTCTATATTTTCAATTTTCTTTTTGTTTTCATAACAAATTGGACATATACTAAAAATGAGGGTCGTGCTCGTTTCCAGAGTAGAACTCCAAACTCGTTGATTATTTTTAGACGAAACTTGCAATACATATCATTCTAGTGGTGAACTGGCACTTTTTGATCATTTGGGATGTTATAAAAAACTGAACAGCGTTATTTTTTTCTTTCCTGAACTGAACATATTCAATGGCCGTTGATTTATCCAAAAGTTCGGTATAAGAAGCCAAACTCCATTTCCGAGTTGCACCAGGAAGGTTTAAAAATACATATTTACTAAGACTTGTTGAAAGTGTATCTTTTTTTCCTCCCTCCTTTACATTACATGTATAAGGAAGTCAAAATTGATATTTGAATTTAGAATTTAATTTTGTATATTTTCAAACTACTGACCTGAATTTCTTAGCCAAAAATCTGTAGATTTAAAAATACAGTAGACTACGGTTATAACGAACTCGAGGGGACCACTAACTTTAGTTCGTAATAACCGTAGTTCGTTATAAGCATACATACAGCATATATACAACAAATGGTCGGGAGTAAAAATAAGTTCGTTATATCCGCCAGTTCGTTATAAGCGTGTTCGTTATAAACGTAGTTTACTGTATGTCTGACCTAAGGATATCAGTATTTGTGTGAAAACAGTATGTATTTGGCCACATGTCCAGCATTACCCAGTCAGTAAACTACTGGTTGTTATCTACATTCATGCAGTGCCTGTATTCCTCTATTGGGGGTTTTACCTTCATAACACTTGTCACTATGCCTGTCGTAAGAGGTGACTAACGGGATCGGGTGGTCAGGCTCAGACTTGCTTGATGCAAGTGGATCAATGCTCATGATGTCAACCATTGGATTGTCTGGCCCAGACTCAATTGTTTAGAGACCGCTGTCATATAGCTGAAATACTTCTGAGTGCAGCGTTAAACAAAAAAAACAAAAAACAGTCTTGGCTTGATATTATAACAACTGGCCTGTGCCACTAGTGTCATCATCAGTGTGGACAATGCCACTGTATTCAACGTAGCAAGTTTACAAGAACTGGTTCTTGTTAAAGACTATTCCACTTTGGATTTACTAGGTTAGTCTTCTGATACGTCATTAGAATATATACACTCAAGGCCCGTTAATCCAACACCCGTTAATCCCATAATCGGCTTTATCCAACACTAATGATGGGAACCGATTAAATCAGTGTTTTTAGACCCTTTAATCCGACAGTCTCACACTCCGACTGCAATCCACTTATTTGCAACGAATTACCTGAATCACCTGTCAATCAGTCTCGTTAATCTGACACAGTGATCGGCCTACTCTGTAGTCATCTGCCCGCGAGTACACAGCCATTGTTTTGATGTCGGACGAGTCGGCTGGTAGCTGCATATTACAATGGCTGCAGAGATAAACTTGCTTAACAATAAACAATTAATGCTTTAAATAAACAAAACAGGATTAATCACATGCTTAGATTACCTCAATCTTTAGAGATTGCATGATTAGCTAGAAAACATATTCCGTAAACAATCTAACAAAACAATATGAATATTTCATTTTTCACTTTTTTTATTATGTGTTTGTATCGTTATCTATTGTGTATCAATTTTCGATCATGAATGTTGATACTACTTAATTTCGTTTATTCAACATACTCGTTAATCCGACGTAATCATTTGCAACCAACCATGTCGGATTAACGGGACTTGACTGTATAAGGAACAGTAACTACAGATATTAAGGCATCTCAACAGATTTTGCCAGTGTGCGCGATCCGGGTATATGCGCTAATTTAATAATAATCATGAATTGTGCATGAATAATCACTCAGAAAAATAATCAAACCTGCATTGAAAACCCTTCACTGTATTTAAGTGAAATAATCTTGAAAGTAACTTTAAACCCCACTGCATCTGTCACAGCCCTCTAAGTTCGTTGTGACTCCTAACTGAGTATCATAAGTCCTCACTTAAGAACTTACTCCAACGTTCATACAATGTTTGGCCCTCACATGTTATTTAGAATTGGTCCTATGCTTGTCATTAGAGGCAACATGATGGATCGGATGGTCAGACTCTGTGATGATGATCCCAGACATTGTACAATGATGGTGTGGATCATTGCTCACAGTATCAATCACTGGTTTGTCTGGTCCAGGCTTGATTATTTTCAGTCTGCCACCATAAAGCTGGAATATGGCCGAGTGCAGTGTTAATCAATAAATAAACCTATTATTTAGAACATGAAGATGATAGTCAAGTGAGTGAGTGAGTGAGTATGGTTTTTACGCCGCTTTTAGCAATATTTCAGCAATATCACGGCGGGGGACACCAGAAATGGGCTTCACACATTGTATCCATGTCGGGAATCGAACCCAGGTGTATGGCCTGACGAGCGAACGCCTTAACCATTAGGCCACCCGACGGCCCCTGATGATAGTCAAGACATAGTATTGATTGACATAGTATTGATTGACATAGTATTGATTGACATAGTATTGATTGTCTGTTTGTTTCCTTTCAGCCTGAACAGATGTTCAAGCCATGGCTGAAGGAGTTCCTAGGAGTGAGTATGCTTCCCTTTCACTTCCATGTTCCTTATATACCCGTGAGTGCTGCTACATATAGTTTATACCCGTGAAGATCTGGGTTAGAATTGATCTTCAGTAACCTATGCTTGTCGTAAGACGCGACTAATGGGATCGGGTGGTCAGGCTCGCTGACTTGGTTGATGCATGTTATCATATCCCAATTGCGTGGATCGATGCTCATGATGTCAGTCACAGGACTGTGTGGTCCAGACTTGATTATTTACAGACCGCCGTCATATGGCTGGAATATTGTGGCGAGTCAAGCGTTCAACAAACAAACAAACAAGTGAATAAAGTGTTCACTGATCGCGCCGAAAGCCCCGGGGTTTGATTCCCAAAATTCTCTTCCTTCCTGGCCTGATACTGAGGAAATCTAAACCTTTTAACTATATACTACTCAAAAGAAGTTAAGGATCACCCGATTCTTTCATATTGGTAATGTTAATCTGTCATGGCATGAGAGATTAAACTATTGTAATATGAAAGAATCAGGTGATCCATAACTTCTTTTGAGTAGTATATTATAGAATTTAGATGTTTGTGTTATTGTTGTGTGAAGATGTATGCGAGACACACATCTACAACCAGGGAATGATTTCAGCCTTTGTGTCACTTAAGGTTATCCTATATGATATTGTGACACAGCAGAGACAGGCAGTGGTAGCTGTGTGCACTGCATTAATTCTGTCTATGTCATGTTTAAACATGCAAATGTGTTCATATATTATTCGGGGGCACAGGTGGCCCAGTCGTCTAAGGCGCCGCGATTCGCTGTGCAGAGTTGCGTCCCTTGGGCAAGACAGAAACCTATGATTGTGGGTTCGAATCCCGGTTCGCCCCAATTATGTTTCTAGGTTTGTCAGCACCATACCCGTGCTCGTGGGTTTCATCGAAGTGGTAAACGTCTGAGACCTGCATCACTTCGGGCTTTCCTCCCACATAAAGCTGACACGCCGTGATATAACTGGAATACTGTTAAAAGCGGCGTTAAACCCAACTCACTCACTCATATATTATTCAATGCCAGCATGAGAACAATGTCCCCACAAAACTCTTTACAGTCCATGCATCACACCTACAGTCTGACATTTAATATCAACTGGATTTTGAGGCTGTCATGGGATGACCTTTATGTCTGTCAAACGGTATTTAGTGTTGGGATATTATTGCATGTAATTTCACAAGTGGTTAATTACCCAGGATGTTACGCCCACATTTCAAAAACAAAGTTCACATTTGATCATTGAATGTAAATAGCCTCGGTGTAAACATGTATTGAGGTCACGGCCAGGCTGTTTCTGGATTCATGGGTGATGGGGACAGTGGGTGGCCAAATGGAATAAGTATTGATGTAAAGGACAGGCTGTTTCTGGGGTTTCATCGGTGAGGGAGAACATGGGTAGTACTGAGGTCACGGCCAGGCTGTTTCTGGGGTTTCATTGGTAAGGGAGAACATGGGTAGTATTGAGGTCATGGCCAGGCTGTTTCTGGGGTTTCATCGGTGAGGGAGAACATGGGTAGTACTGAGGTCACGGCCAGGCTGTTTCTGGGGTTTCATCGGTGAGGGAGAACATGGGTAGTACTGAGGTCACGGCCAGGCTGTTTCTGGGGTTTCATCGGTGAGGGAGAACATGGGTAGTATTGAGGTCACGGCCAGGCTGTTTCTGGGGTTTCATTGGTGAGGGAGAACATTGTTAGTATTGAGGTCACGGCCCGGCTGTTTCTGGGGTGTCATTGGTGAGGGAGAACATTGTTAGTATTGAGGTCACGGCCAGGCTGTTTCTGGGTTCATGGGTGATGGAGACAGTGGGTGGCCAAATGGAATAAGTATTGATGTAAAGGACAGGCTGTTTCTGGGGTTTCATCGGTGAGGGTAAACATGGGCGAGCCTAGTGGACTGAAGTATTGATGTCAAGGCTTTGGGGATAATTGTATGTACCAACACAGTGACTGAAAATATATCTTGTTTCTCACCCGGCCAAAGATCAATAAATGGTAGGGTCCTAAGGTTTGGTTTGTTTATATGTTGAGTATTGGAACCGATAAAACTTAACATTTCAATCCTTTACAGTTACACATAGTGTTCTGTGCAAGCTGCTTAAGTACAAATTTTTGTTTGTTGATTAACGTCCCATTCAGCAGTGTTTCAGTTGTTGATGCCTGTCTGTAGGTAATTGAGTCTGGACCAGTGACTGATATAATGGGCAATAACCCACACAGACTGACCACAGCTGATCCATCTAGTCCACTTGTACAAGCTTGGGGTTGCAACTCACAATGGGCAATAACCCACACAGACTGACCACAGCTGATCCATCTAGTCCACTTGTACAAGCTCCGGGTTGCAACTCACAATGGGCAATAACCCACACAGACTGACCACAGCTGATCCATCTAGTCCACTTGTACAAGCTCCGGGTTGCAACTCACAATGGGCAATAACCCACACAGACTGACCACAGCTGATCCATCTAGTCCACTTGTACAAGCTCCGGGTTGCAACTCACAATGGCAACATTTTGAAATGCAAAATATTCACCACAAAATATTTCATCTGATACAAGTGAGGGATATTTGCCTCAGCACTTCCCCAAGGTTCCAGGTTCAAATCGTGTTTGAAACCCAGAATTTGTCCATTAACTTGCCGCTCTATCTAACCTTGCATTAATGTTTCATCCATCAATTTCATGTACCAAATTACATATCCTTGTGGGCAACTTGTTTGAATTTGTCTAGGTTGTCCATGCAGTGGTCACTCTGTCCCTGCCAGCGTTAGAAATTGGCACTAATCCTATAGTCCTTACCAAACTGCCCAATAGTAAATGTATCCTAAGGACTAGTAGAAATTGGCCCATTTTAAGGGTTTTGCTATATGTTATCATTATAAGGACTAGTGGACAAAAACTGTTAGTTTCTAACCCTGCCTGCCATTGTGAATGTGTCGTAATCATATTGGCATCCATATCTATCGATACATATTAATTATCTTATTGCAAGCCAATAGCAATATTTTAGCTATATGATCATATTGGAAGTAAATATAGGCATGGAGACATCATGAACAGTGTTGAAGATTAAGTAACGCATGAAAGTGATGGGGTCGTTGTTGTAACCCTAATGTTACAAGTTATAGATTTATGTTGTCCCGGGATTAAGATACAAAAGAAGAGTTCTGGAGGGCCCCTGACAGGAGCTTCCCTTAATTTCCTACACTGTTGTATCAGACTTTGCTGAAAATACATAGCCCTAGTTGTAGACTGATGTATTTTGTCAGGGATGAGTATATTACATTCTTAATGATAAGGGGCGGTCGGGTAGCCTAGTGGTTAAAGCGTTCGCTCGTCACGCAGAAGACCCGGTTTCGAATCCCGACATGGGTTCAATGTATGAAGCCCATTTCTGGTGTCCCCCGCCGTGATATTGCTGGAATACTGCTAAAAGCGGCATAAAACCAAACTCACTCACTCTTAATGATAAGGTTTGATGTTCTCAGAGTGCTTGGTTACTGCCCTCAGACTTGGCTGCTATTTGAAGTTTTCTCTCATCAACTGAGCCATATGGATTTAACATTCATTCACCACATTCCTGGTCACACATTTCTTTCAGTCTTTCTTGGGTACAAGTTATGGAAAAGGAGCTATCATGTGTTTAATGTGCAATCAAAAATTACATCGTTCACTTATTTATTTATTTATTTATTTATTTATTTATTTATTTATTTATTTCTATTGATAAAATGGCATTGCACAGAAGCGTTTGGTTTTAATAATGTACAACACAGTCACTTTGGATCTGTTTAATGTCAAAAGCCTCAAATTTCCCACTGGAACAAATTATCTGTAATGCAATCAACGCAGCTAATTTAGAATTCCGGGATTTGTACCACTTGGTCCTCATTGGGAACCAGTGGGATATATTAACACCTGATAGAGTTGTTTTATTATCCGGATAATACCGGCAAATAACTCCGGGGAATACCAGCAATAAACACTGGTCAGAGCTTTCAGCCTGTTCTTGTTGAAACTGATAGCCGAGTTAGTTACTGGTAAATTATTGCCTGATCCATCTTTTTGTGAGTTGCAGTAAATTACTTTAAATTTGATCTTTCTTTTGGAACTTTGATGAATGCAGTAATATTATAAACCTTTTGGTTAGAATGGTGCTGTTTTAGGAAGGTGATGTTTCTCTAAGATATGAATGTAAGCCATTGGTGGTTAGAATATGAGGTATGTTATCATGTATTTGATAACTGTAAAATTCACACTGTTTCTGTTCACATGTATAAAAATATGTCAGGAACCATAATCCATCATTTTAAAACCAGTCATGGACTTTCACTCAGTATTTGAAGTTTCTGATGGCCTGGCATGGGAAGTATGTCCTTATATGGAATACTTTTGTACATCGTAATCAAATTTCTTCAGTGGTATCAAAAATCCACTGGAACATCATGGTGTGAAGATCCGGGTTAGAATTGATCTTCATCAACCCATGCTTGTCCTAGGAGGCGACTATGCTTGCCGTAAGAGGTGACTAACGGGATCGTGTGGTGATCGTGTGCTGACTTGGTTGATGCATCATTGTATCCCAGTTGTGCAGATCAATGTTCCTGATGTCAAGCATTGAATTATGTTTAAGAATGACATTTAGAACTGATACACATAAAGAGGATTTATGGATGTCAACTTCTTTTCTATGAGGAACACAATGTTTCGGAGTATATACTTACTCCTCGATTATTTACAGACCGCCGTCATACATCTGGAATATTGCTGAGTTTTGCATTTAAAAACAAACAAACAATAATACATTGGTTGACCTGTACCATGTAACAATGGAGGTGTCATCGGTCAGTTGGCAGAGTTGTGTTTACCTTGTGAACCGTCATGATCAATGCACATCGGTTTTGAAATCGTATTTTGGCAGTAAAGGTTGGAACACAGATGTACTTTATCCTGCTTTCATTTGCTTTCAT